CTTTTGGAATACTAAGATTTGTTGTCTCAATTTAAACGTCAGAGTTTATTATCTCTTTTAAAACTGCATTTTATTATCTCTTTTGGGTACGCTCAGTTTATTGTCTCATATGGGGGTGAGCCCAATTTTTTAATGATCTCTCTGTCTCTGTCTCGGTTAATATGACCAGGGTCTGTTGACATCGCAACTTGTGCGCAGCACAATTACAATCTAGTTTATTATATGGAAATAGGATTTTTCGAATGCATTATAACGCGTTAACGTTCCCTAACGTGTTATGATGCATGCGATAATACGATAAAAATTTAGTAACACTTTGTAATGATATACGAATATTCGCGTGACAATTGAATTTATACCGTTTTCATATTATAAAATACAAGAAAATCGTTTTTGAGATGCCTTTAAGAACTGATTTTTCAAAAAGCACTGTGTTCCATACACATACATCTAGATACGACGTTCAAAAACAACAGAAGCGCGAACTTTGTCTGTATTTCTTTTCATCACAAGACAATTGTTTTTTTGTTTGTTAGATAAATTAATTATTCGATTTCTTGAGATTCTTTTTTAAACGTCTGATAAATTTGAAATTTGAAAAGCAATCGAATAATAAATAGCAGTCATGACTTAGATATAGGTGTGTATCTCTCAAAACATATTCATTCGATACGTTTTCGGATAATTTTGCAAGCGAAAGAAATTAAGAACTCAAGTTTTCGCCACCAATAGAAAGGACATTGAAGCATGTCTTTATAAAAACATCGAAAATTACGAAATATGTTTAATTTGACCTGATATGCATGAGTATGCATAAAAAAAGGTATTCAGACGATCCCGTTGATAAATCACTAGGATTCACAAAATCTTTTTCAATTCAAGAATGAAATAGTGTAGTGTGTAGTGAGAAACTAGTTCATCCGGTGTTTAGGACGAAATTTGAATTGATCTGAATAGATTTGAAGTAAAATATGAAATACTTAATTTTCAATGAAAATAACGGTGGGCCAGGAAAAATCTGACACTTTTATTTTCTTTTTTTAAGAAGAAATTTTGAAGACTTGACTTGGTTCTGTGCTTACTCAATAGAGAATTAATTGCTCTACAAAAATGTTGAGCTGAATTTCCAAATAAGTTATCTTCTTTTGAGGAGTATTTAACACATTAATACATCCTCAATATTCCTCTGCGATACTATAACAAAGGAAAAAACTGACAAAAATTATCAAAAAAAGGTGACACTAGGATTTCAAGTATACAAGAAAAATTCTGCGTAAGATTCTGCATCGTCTGATGTGTATTTCGGAATTTTAAAACAAACCCTCCCCTCTTAGGGAAATCTGAGACTAAAACGTGTTGAAAAACCGGACTTTTTTGGTGCTTTAAAAAAAATCCTCCAATATCAAAAACTGAAAACTAGAGTTGTTTAAATCTTTTCGTTCTCAAATTATTCAAAAAGTATAGAGTATGTTCTATTTTGAAATGAATAGCAATTATTAATACAATTTCTGGTTCTCCACGTCGTACTTTTAGCTCGAATTTCTGCAGAAAAACAGCTTCGTTTTGCCAGAGAATCTTCTAAAAAAAAATCGAAATTTACAGATACAAAAAACGAGAAAATTCTATTATATGGCGTTTATATCTGATGATAACAAAACATTTTCTGAAAATTCATAATTTATGTCTGAAAATTTCGTCAATAGCGGATTTAGTACAACAAAAATATTACCAAAGGAAGAGGATCGCGTTAAAAGACATTTTTCTTCCACTGTAGAATAAATAATTTTAGTATATTTTTTATAACTCAAAACAATTAAATATTCTTATTAAACAGTTTTTTATAAAAAATTCTATTGAGGATGAACACGGAGAGAAAAATGAGAGCTCATAAGAAGTAATTTAGCAGACGGATCTTTTGATATTTCATCTACTATAGTAGAAGAAATTGTCTAAAGAAAACTAAATAATTGTTCGTTTTCAAACACTTTCAGTGAATAAGAATAATAGCTTAAAATATTCTATTATTAATAATTTTCACAAAATATAGATAAATTTATCAAAATTATTGTTTAATATTATAATATGTTTTATTCGGTTGATTGTAATTCTCCTCCACGCGTTTCTTCTATTGTCTCAACGTATTGTATTTCGTCAGCATTATGTGGGAGAACAGCAATAATAAATGCCGTGAATATAAATAACGTTGCTCCAAAAAACAATCCATATGCCCATTGTAAACGAAATATATGTTTGTTATAAGCTAATGGTATAAGAATTAATATAAATATATCGGTTAGACAACTAAGAAAAATTAAAATAATTGTACATAACCATAGTGTTCGTCTTGGACGTTGAGAATTACGTACAATCGATAGTGTACCAATGATAATAGATAAAATTACAATTAAAAATGATGTTAATAATAGAATAGCCGTGATTAACATCCATTTTGAATAATGATTATTTGTTGTTGTTGTTGAATCAAATAAATGACATTTATAAATAACTTTTGGAACAGGTAATGAAAATGAATCCAATGATTTTTCACAACGAAATAATGGTCCAAAATGACCGTATTTTGTTTCTAACCAAAACGATGTAAATAGAGCAATAATTAAAAAGAAACAATGTAAAATAGCTAAAAATAGACTAGCTACTTTCAATGGTGATACAACATAAATACGTTCAAATTTTGCACGAGGTGCGTACATAATAACGATGAAGAAAGAAAATTTTAAATAAATGAAAACATTACTTTCTTTCTATATATTATAACGATCCATTAACATGCACAAATATTGTCAGCTTTATTGACATATTATTTTACTTCCGATAGTAGGTTTTGTGTGTATGCGTGTGTTTGTTAGTCAAAAAAAAAACTATCGAACGACTGATCATCCACAACCATCTATAAACAAATTTTTCTTCTCATCTGTACATACGAAACTCGATGTTTATATCTGATAGAAAAAATATCATTGCTCGATAATTTTTTCTTGTACATTTACTCAACTCATCTCCTTTTCTTCTAACATCCTTCATATGGCATTGTAACTCTTTTTTTTCTTCGTTTTTTTTTCTTCTCTTCTTTATCGGATATAAGAAGATCGGTGATGGGAAAAATCGAGTGTAATAGTCTTGTTTCTACAAGTTTTTAGTACCACACTAACGAAAGAGAGACAAGGTGTTTCTTGTTTTATTGTAACTTAAAACAAATATATTATGCCATGACAATAGGATGATGTATCATATTTGTTATCACAATGTCCTTGCTTGTTAAAATCTCATAGAATGAAACGTTATTATATAGTCAAAATTAGTTAGTATATGGAGACATATTGGAAGAATCAAAACTGTGACTGAAATCTGTTGAATGACTTACAGCTATTAACATCTAACCTGATAGAATAACGTATAAGAATTTGATGTTCAATATCAACACTATTCGTCAGATTTCTCTATAATGATTGTGCATGAGAATACTATATTCAAAAAAATCCTATACATTCTGATGGATAAAGTTACACAAAAAATTAGTAACGAGAACTATTTATTATTTCGAAAAAAGAGAGAATTGGAATTTATTTTCAAAACCATAGGCTCTTATCGTTCTTTCTATTCGACAAATTCGTCCGGTGATGTAAATGTCACAGTTTTCTCTAGAATGAGCCTTTTTTCATGGATTATTATCGTTCTCCGATAGTACTCGTTTAACATAGAAAAGTGCTCGAAAAAGAAGTCTGTAATTTCGAAAAACCGTCTTAGACAGAGATTATGGATAAAAGTTTTCGAGTGAATCTTTTTTCATGGAAAGAAATTGATTCAATGTAGTTTTATGTGCTATGTTTCGGTATTTTATTCGCTGTTATTGAAAAAAAAACGATTATTGGTGCAAATCAAAATCTACATGAAAATCTATGAGTTTTTTGTAAACCCATAGATGTTAGGAAGAAAAGTGTATCAAGACACTAATTTCTTCTGTCAAATATATTTTTTCAAAGTTTAAGACACCTTGAGAGCTTGGAAAAAGAGGGAAACTCTTGAGAGTGAAGGAGTGAACCTAAAGAAAAATCTAGTAGTACGAAAACGCATTTTCCTCAAAGAATATTTCTGCTTACTGAGAAATTTTACATCAAAAGATTATTGTACGATCTTGTTCTTAGAATCTAAAGCATTTTGATTGATAATTTGTTTTTTAAGCCCATTTTTTAACTGCATCACTCAATTTTCTTCAATTAATAAAACACAAATTTATAGTGGCTGCTTTTCTACTACAAAAGTGAATTGCAAATCAATCCACTACTGTAATAAGTTGTTGTGATATCAAAATTCATTTTGCCGTACTTGACTGTGGAAGAAGTATACTTTTGTTTTCTCGTAGTATACATCATTGACCATAGTGTTAGCATTTCCTCATGGGGCGGATGTAAACTATGAGTGGCAATTGAAATTGGATGCTTATTATACGAACAGTAGGTATTTTGCAACTATAAATTTTGTATACTTGACAGTATAAAAAAGACAGTAAACAGAGCATAGGTAAACGTAGTAATTAAATGGAAACGAAATTATAGAATATAAAGTATAGGGCTCTTGATTATTGAGGAGTATGACAATTTTAAGCTTGGAATTTATTACTCAGAAATTTCAAATGCAAAACAAAAACGGACCAAGTTTCGATTGTTTTCAATAAGACACGATAATTCGAAGGCTGTTATGGTGAGAGTGTATGTATGTGCAGTAGCCATAGTTGAACAACAAAAATAATTTTTATTAGAATCCTCACTACTGGCATTAAGAATATTCAATCTTTCCCTATTAAGGTTTTCTTTGACTCAATTTGAGATCAAAAGCACAGCAAACAGAGTGTCGCATTTTTTTTATAACAAAAACATCTCATTTCTTCTTAGAAGATGAGTCCACGTGAATCTTTTATATTTTTCAGACACGTGTAGATAAATATTGTTACTGTCGCTTATGTAAGCATACTGCAACTGATAAAGGTCTTATTATGAAGGTTTATCTATTCATTTTAGAGGATATTTTGTATTTTGTTTACCGAAGTTAACAATATAGTTTCATCTCTTCACTTTTCTCTCTTAACCGTTTAAATTTCAATTAAAATAAGTCGTAACGAATAAGTGTAAGAAAAATGTTGAAAATTTTTCGAAGTAAATTTTTTTTATTGCTGGCGATTATAATTCAAATTATTGATTGTCAAGGTGAGGTTTGTGTAGATGGATTGATTGGAAAACCAGATGATCCTCGTTGGCATCCTATAGCAGGCAGATTTGAAATATTTGCTGAAGTTGCTTTTAGTGATGGAGCGTTCGAAGTGACACAGGCGTTCACTGCCGGTCGTGATGCCATATTTGTAACCCTCAATGGCGTTCCATTTAGTCATTACTATAATTTTGAAACAAATGAATATTTTACAGTTTCAACATTAATTCTTGATGGCGCACCAGTACCTCTGTGTCTTAAATCCGTGATTGATAATCAATTTCCTACTAGTAATGTGTCTGGCACTGTTCTCAAACCGTCTATTCTGCTAGGATATGACTCAAAAAACAAGATAAATCCAGCATGGGCAACACGTTTTGTAGGTGAAACGATTTTACGTGGTATACCTGTTGATATTTTCATCGCCTGTTTTTATGTACAAGACATTCAAACAACAGTTGAAGCAACCTATTACTATAGTAATGTGACCAAATTTCATGGTTATCTGGGACGAAACACACCAATTCTATTACAAATTGATGTTAAAACTGTAGCTTTTGGTAAACAAGAAAGCTATCAATACAACATATTTCGATATACACCATATCCACGCCCAAATCAAGAGATTCGAGCTTTAGAAACACCAACGGGTTATTTTTGTAAGAATCGAAATAGTACAAAACCATTACCATCAGATCTTCCCGAACGTTTATCGGTGAATAGTGAAACTCAGGTGCCACAGCTCAATAACACAATTCTAAGTGGCCATGAATTATTTGATAAACAAGCGGAATTTGTTCGTCTAGATCTTTTTTTTGGTAGATTGGGACATTTTACCGAGATACATGATTATCGAACTGGTCTAAGCTATCGATATGAACATATGACACAACGATGTACAGTGAATGATATTAATGGTCAATTTGACGGTGTACAAGTAGAAGGTAAGAGATGATCGATTATTCGAGAGAAAAATGAAATAAAATTCACTCTGTTTTCGATGGGTTTTTAAGGTCAACCAAACATAGTTCGTATGCGTGATGGTTTAGAATTCTTTCTACTTGACAATACAACATTTCATTATACTGGTGTTAGACACTGTCGTGAACGAGTTAACTGCCATGTATGGATTGGTGAAAAAGCGTTAGATGGTAACCGAAAAGGAACACAACACCGGGAATGGTATTGGGCATTTGAAATGAATGGTGTAGAATTACGAAATTTGATTCCAATTAAATTCATTATGACAGATTTAGATGAAAGAGGAAGACTAATTAGCGCAAATGAAATAAGTGAGCAATAGAGTTGTTTGTTGTATTCGACATTTGTATTTTTTTCTTTTCTCTTTTTTCTTTTAGCCATGTTCAACTTTCATAGAAATCCACTGACCATATTTGAAATTGATCATACTTTATCTGAATGTTATCGTGCATTAGGACCAAAACAGGGTTATAATTATGGTGTTGTCAAATTTGTAATCGCAAATGATAAAGAATATCCTGTTCATAAAAATATTGAATATTTAACACTCACTATTTGGCGAACATTAACATTGTTTTTACAATTGAGACCAGTAAGAATTAGTAACATAGTTATTGATCATGATGGCAAAGATCTAATTGTAACATTTCTACTATTGGATGTGCCGCCAAAATATGGACCAGTTGAACATCCACTACATGAACATAGTTTAGACACATTAGTTGAGCGTTTACAAACATTAATTAACGATAATACATTAGCCTTTCGAGCTAAATTTGATACAAAAGAAGTTGATTTACGTGCAAGAAAAAATTCATTAGATGTCATTTATGTGAATAACAAATCGGTAACAAAAGCACATGGACCACTCATAACGGGTTTGTGGATTGGATTTTTGGTATTGGGTTTACTACTTGGTGTAGGTGTAGCATTTATTGTTGTTAAAAAATATACCTAAATATGACTTAGTTTAGATAGAACTGGGTTCTTGAACCCATAACAATTAGTTTTTTTAAAATTTTTTCTAATAAAAATTATCAAAAATACATGTTGATATTAAGTATTTTGTTAAACTCTTTCTCTAATAAGAAAATGTGTTTTAGAACAACACAAAAATTAGTAAGCATCTCTTTTTTGAAATCTTAGATTGTATCATATATATTTAAGATTGAAAAAAGACAGCTGACCTAGACATGGATATGTAAGAAATCGGACTGTATGCATACAGATGTTGGTGTATATTGCTTAAAACCATATAAATAACAGTTATGTTATGCCAGATGCCCATAATAAATGGTGTTTTAAAAAGTTTTATTTAGATTCTGGTCTAATTATTATAATGATACGGTACAAATTGTGTTTTATTGAATATATAAATAGACAAAAAAGAAATATGTCAGATTTCATTTGAGTAATAAATGCAAAATATTATAACTATTGAAACCTAATAGATGATAAAACATAGGTTAACACACACGTTAAAGTGTAACATGTTGTCTAAAAATTAACATATTTTATTCGTACAATCTTAGACTAAATAAGTATTTTTATATATTTTGTTTATTTGTCTGATTTCTTCTGGTAAGAATATAATAGTATTAGTAGGTTCATATTAGTAAAAAAACAAATAATTTTAGTTCTAATAAAGTGTTGATGGAATGAATGCTCATCAAAATTTTTATCACGTATTCTATCTATGTTTATTTTTTTGATGTCAATTGTTTTTTTTCAAAAATGTTCTTATTGCTGTTGTCGAACTAATTATTTAACAATTTATGCCTTCTTTGAAAAAAATCTTTCGCTATGTTATAAAATGTATATTTCCGCACGTCTACATATTAAAATATAAATGAGACCTTCTTTCGTCTTTGTTAGTTCTTACAGATTTTTTTCTTCTTATATATTTCTAATTTATATTCAGCGACACTCTCCTTTTTTTCCTTGCTCTTAGAGATATTATGCATATACTGTGGGAGAGAGAGAGAGAGATATCGATGTGTTTCCTTCCGTACGAATAATCTCTTCTTTCTTTCTCTATACTTTGTTCTTTTTCTCAATCATGACTTCTGTTCGTTTGTCGTAGGCAATTATTTATCAGAAGAGACCATTTATTATTATAACAGCTAATTTTTTTTTTCCTACACACATAGAAACCTTTTTCTAATTTCTATTAATTCCATTAATTAATTTTCTGTTTCCGGAAGGTATTTTTCAATTGATGATTACGATTATTATCTAAATTATACAAATACAATTATGTCAAAGGTAGGTGTTGAATAATCAATAATGATGAAGATATAATTAGTTATTGTTATTGAATATATCAGCTCTTTTTCTAACCGAGAGATTAATTTTAAGAGTGATATTAATTTCAAATAATTCAGTTGACTTGAAAAAAGAAATAATAAAAAAAATTTATTCTCTTTTGATGAAATAAATGATTGAGATTATGTATCTTGCACATCTCTATCGAAAAAAAAAACAAATAGTAATCGATATTTTTTTTTCAACTGTTCAAGTTGTAGATCAATAAATAGTTCTTGTTCGACTATATTCATGGAATGTAAATGAGAAAAAAAAAAAAAAGCTAAAAATTGCAACATAGAAGAAGTTGATTTTTGTTTTTTCTATTCACTATAAAACTATCTTACTTTTATCTTTTCCATTTACATTAAATATTCAAAATTCTGTGAAACTAATAAAATCTATGAAAACTAATCAGTGTCGAAGATTGATCATTAAAGAAACATATCCCTATTGTTTAATAATATAAAGAGTAGTAACATATTGCTATTTTTTTACAAATAATTTAGCATATGATTTTTAGATTTATCTTAATGAAATTGTCAACCAATTTATGAATAGAATATTTAAGACGGAGAAAGTTATAGTTGAAAACTGATAAACGTGATTATGTAATTGATTTTTCCTTTTCTACCATAAAATTTGACACTAACCTTGTTTACGCATAGAAAATGACCTCTGATGAGATTTTTGTTTTTTCTTCTATTGCACAGGTGAATTGGTTCTGGACTAGGAATGGTGCCTATTAGAGTCTTATGAGGCATGAGCAATATTATTTACCATCGCTATATACCACAGTAGTTAACGATAGGAAAACAAATAACTATAGTTTTTTGTCAGACATAAAAGTCATTTTTTTCCTTCTATTTGTATCTTATTTATTTTTGTTGTTTATTTGTGTTGTTGTTGTTCATGCGTATAAACAAATGGAATGTGATTTTTAACCATAGCAAAAAGGAGAAGAAATGGATCTAATACAGTTTGTTCTCCAAAATGCGGATAATGAGTCGTTAATAGTCCTTATATAGAGAGAAAGATGAGAATAATATCTTAGCTAATCTGATAGAAAAAAGTAGAAGATTTTCTTCAAGATAGTTTTATGACAAAACTAGACTTTTTATTTTTATTTTATTTTTTTATAGTTTTTCATAAACGATCACGAATAAAAGTATTTAAAACGGAGAAAATTTGTGCCTGTTTTTCCACCTATAGAAATAATTGTCTCGATTTAAGTCGACAAATAACTAAAAAAAAAAAATTTTTGTTTTAGACGTAATGAAAATATTTGACAATCGACTAGTACAAAGAAGAAACGCATACGTAGGTCATTTATAAGCAAGTTAAAGGGAAAGTTTATTTCAGAAAATATATAGATATTTTTGAGTGTTTATTTCATCTCATCCGAAAACTCTCATATAGATATAGACAAATAGTTGAATTTTGGAATAAAAGCTCAGTGTCAGACAAATAACTATTTCCGTTTCAATGTTAAGTATTCTATTTTAGTATTTGCAAAGATCAAACAACACCATTAGGAAATGATGACACTATATATCTATATATACGTGATCTTGTCTGATCACTTTTTTGATTGAAAATATAAGAGAGAGAGAGAGAGAAAGAGGGAAAGTCGATGATGCCAGAGATTATGATAGATTATCCACTGGTACGTTAATAAAACAGATTTTCATCATTGTTCACACTTCTTTGGATGTGCTTGATAGAGGAATATTAGAGTTGATAAGATATTTATTGGACATTTAATCTTATATAACTAACACATTCACACATCACAACTCCTGTAAATTTTTCTCTTTACATAATATCCTTTTCTCTCGTTGATAATCGCATATAGTAAGATAAGCAATACACAAAAGAAAAATATTTGACATTTCCTTTCATTCATTAATATGGTGCATAGTTGAAATAGACAAATGTTTTTTCACCAATAATTGGTATCTATCGTTCTATTATATCTATTTATAAACATTTTCAAAGTTTTTTCCGATAACTATTAGAAAATAACAACAACTCTCCTGCCTCTTGTCACAATTGACAAGTATAATGTCTTAGACTGATATGAACACTACAAACTTTATAATAACAATGTTTAATAATATCAAATTTTAATATATAAAATAATTTATATATTAAAATATAAATAACTTCAAAAAATAATTTTTCGTCTAAATGTACGCGCATAAGACACATTATCCTCTTTATTTATCTGTGACTTGTCAATACATTAAAATAATAACTTTTGAAAATATTTGAATAAAATACAATAATTTGACAATAATTTGTATAACAGTTATTTATCAAATTTCAACATCTTATCTAATCAAATTGACAATAAGAATAAAAGAAAATTTATGATTCAATACTGTGTACTATGATTGTTTCCTTATTTTTTGTTTTGTTAACAAAAGGTTAGATTGCGTATATTATTCTACCAAACTGCCTTTAAACAATCATTATTAGAACTAGAGTACTGATAGGTTCCTAAAGGAATATAATTATATTTCATAGATATGAACAATAATAATGTTTTACAATAGAAAAATATCACTATTTTAATTACTATTAAATATAAAGTGTATTTTTACACTAAATGAGTTAATAAGATTTTCACGGTTGTTTTCTGATATAAATGCCAATATTATCGATGTACGTGGTAATTATTGTCACGGTTTCTTTATTTTTCATTATTAATAAATCATGTGTAAATAGGAACAATAAAGAATTATAATATTTTAATTTATAAATAATTATCTCTCTATTATTGGAACATTTAAAGTGAGACAGAGTCTTTCATTAAAATTTGTCTTATAAACAAGATAACATTTTTTGCGTGTTTTTGTTTTTATTTGTGTCTATCCCTTGCACGTATAGTTATCAACATCTAAAGATCTTGCTAACCGAGTTGTATTGATCTTGAATATAAAAATATAATTCATCGTTTTTCTTCTTCTAACAAATACTTATAGTCACCTAATCTTCAAAAAAAGTAAAAAAAAAAAAATCCATATGTTTTTACTATTCCAATTCTGAGAATACCGTGTAGTTGTACTGTACTAATTTAACAGCATATCTCTCTCAAAAAAAATAACTTCCATTAACATTGTTATTGTGTTGTGTGTGTATGTGTGTGTTTCATTTTTTCTTTTTTTTTTCTTCTAAGGAAAGTAAAATGATATTAGTCTATCTGTATGATGGGACCAAAATCACAATTATATAGATCTGTATGCAAATAGAGTATAAAGGAGTCGGTTTTCTGATTTTCTTTCTTCTTTTTTTTTTTTTTGCTTTGTTTTTCTTGAAAAAAGAACAAAAAGAGAAGGATATTGCTCTAAAAACTATAAATGAACATTTTGTAAGAGCAGGAGCTAAAAATATTTTATGATTATATTTTAAGTGCGTATTGGAGACGAGGTGTGATATATATATATATATATATATATAAATGGTCAAACAGAACTGGTCGGGAAGAGATACATTTAAAGTACGATGCATGAAGTGTGAATCGAGGAGAAGAGATGATGATATAAGAAATAAAAAGTAGATATAGTCTATAGATATCGGCTACGAGAAATGATTAGATATGTTGATTACTAACGGTTGGATCAAAAATAATAGGATACTTTTTCATTTTTTTTTTTTTTCATATTTATATTCAGTTTCAAGGGTCTATTTTAGGTTTAAAGAATAGAGAATTTTTTGCTCTAGAAAATTTTCTCTATCCAATATTTACACGGTATTTGATTATTTGGAATATAAACTAGTGTTAAGACAAGTAAGAAACATAACATGCCATTTCAGTGACTTTTCAGTCATTTTCTTCAAAATAATATAGACAGTTAAGAAAAGAGATTGGATTATAAAGGGTTGATGATTATTGTAACGAAATCTTTTACTTGTTTATACGACACCCCAAAGCTACAAAAAAAAATAATAGTGTATAATAAATTTAACTATATCAGGTAATATTAAATTTGAAAAAAAAAGCAGAAAAAAATCTAGTAAAAAAATGTAGTACGAGTACTGGATTTTGTAGAGTAGAAAAGTCTATATTTGATATTTTGATCAATCGTAGGACTGCACAATATGATGAACAAATGAAGTACAAGAATAATTCATTTTTATAGATGAACTGTGAGAAACAGTTTTATTTTTTTCCATACTGATCAGGTAAATGAAAACGAATTATTTTTACACAGGATATTCGTGATAAACAGCTAATAGAAACACTATTAAATAATCTATTAGATTAAAGATAACAAAATTCAATTTGATTCTTCCGTCATAGTTATGTTTGTTACTTCAATAGACGACATTTTTGCTCTGATGATTGTTGCTTTAACAATATTATTTGAGAGAGAAAGAGATCAGTAAAAAACAGAAATAAGCTAATATTTTTTCCTCTATTTTTTTCTCTTTAGAAACTTACACTTGAAATCCAAATGCTGATATTTATCGACAGTTAGCTTTATACAATAATTGGATGTGTTAGCCATTTACTGATGTAAATAAAGCGTATAGGATGACGTCAGAATGCAACAATTGTACCCAGTCATTGTATAAAACTGTTTTAGTTATATCTGGTGGTTCTCTATTATCCGCTTTAACTATTACCGGCAATTTACTTGTTTTGATTTCTTTTCGTATTAATAAACAATTACGTACGGTAACAAATTATTTTCTTCTATCACTTGCCATTGCCGATTTTACTATCGGATTTTTTTCCATACCCATTTTTACTACATACACAGTAACGAATACGTGGTCATTTAATGCATTTTTATGTAATATTTGGTTAAGTGTAGATTATACAATGAGCAATGCATCCGTCGCCAATTTATTATTGATTTGTTTTGATCGTTATTTTTCAATAACACGTCCATTGACCTACCGTGCTAAACGAACACCTAGACGAGCAGCTATCATGATATGTTTAGGCTGGACAATATCCTTTTTCATTTGGACACCGGTAAGTAAAAAATAAAATAGTCTTTTTTTTTCCATAAAAATAATGTGCTCATGTTTTTTTGTAGTGGATATTTGCCTGGCCATATATTGATAGCTCAGTAATTCATCCATCAAATATGAAGGAACCTCATTGTAAACTACCATTTGCTGATAAAGCAGCATTTTCTATTCCAACAGCTATTGCTGCTTTCTATTTACCAGTAACACTCATGTGTCTTCTCTATTATCGTATCTATCGGGAAACAGTTAAAAGACGAAAAGAATTACATTTATTACAAGCACAACATTGTAATCCATCATCGTGGTCAACAATGAGTAGTAGTAACAATACAAACGCCGTCACAAACACTACCGCACATATATTAAATGGTCGAACAACAATCACGTTTGGAAATGGTAATCAACAACATCAATTATCAACATCCGATCAACAAACGTTAGAATTAGATACAGATGCTGTATCAACAAATTCTCAACAAGTTAAATTAAATAATTCACTAGTCATAACACAAGATACTGATCAACAACAAAGAACTTGTTGGAAAATAAGCTGTTGTTCAAGGTTTGTGACTTTTCTTAGTGTATGGGATAATCGCATCTAAATCGGCAATATCTCTAACAGCAAATTTACACAAGTAATTGTGAGTTTAGAAGACTAAAATTTAGAAATATGAACAGCATATGTCTTAAATGAAAGTTAGTTATCGTATATTATTATTAGCCATTGTCTTAGAATGTAGGACTATATACAGGTAGAGCGTTAAAGAAGAGAAAAAAAAAAAGATTTTTTTCCTCTATTTTTCTCTTTATGGATCGATCAATGATAAATAGTTTCCGCCATTATTTCTTTTCAAAGAAGTTAATAATCTTAAGCTATACTCTATAGCTTTTCAACTTTTTAATGACAATGAAAAATTCTTTATCCAGGATACCACTCATTGTTGAACGCTTTAGATATATACATTGATGAAAAGAAAAAATTATTAGTTAAATGTTTTTTTTCCCAATAACCAACTGAGTATAATTTATGACATTAAACTATGGCGCACAGTTTGATATGACAAGTATTAGTATATTAGATCAAAAAACAATAGAACATTGATATAGATATATCCCCACAAATCAAAATAACAGAAAAAAAATCAGTGTTTAGTCTATCACACACATAGATAAAGATTTTTATCAATTGTTCCAGTTATGGATATATAGATAACAACAATTTTATCACACGCGCACACTCTTAATTACCTAAAAAACCTTTTCCTGTGACTATGTGGGAGGTTTTGTTTAAATTAATTCAGAAATACTTGATAATGTTTCTGACTTAATTTTTCAGAAATGTTGATAATGTCTAGTAGTCATATGCTTCGTACACGTGACTCTGGTTAAATCCCATGTTTTTCCAACTCCTTGAACTTCAGATTAACCCATTTCATCATTTTTGCTATACATAAAAGCGTTCGAAAAACGTTATTTACATATAGTAGTATCTAGAAGATTGCTGGCATTTACGAAATATACCATAACAACTAGATTACATGCATAACAGATAAATACATAGGACTTGTTAATTGCGCATGAAGAACGTAATGATATTCATAATTTGCGTTTTTCTATATTACAAATGGCTACTTCTTAATTGAGATCACTATTTTCTACACTCACTCTCACTTTGCTTCTCGCCCGGTGATGTTTGTTTGATGTCAATTAAGACTTTCAAAAATGAGACCACATTTTATCAAAAAAGTGTTCTCACTTTAGAAGACTCGTTACAAACTCAATCTATGTATGAGGCAAAATTTTTAAAACAACAATACATATCTTTCGAACATATGTTGCTGTCATTATTAACGTCTTTTTTAAAATTATATTGTTAGCTCAAAGAAAGAATCTCGACAATTGCTTTTTACCTAATTTTCGAAAGAAAAGTGAAAAAGGCTAATGTTCAGTAGTTTGAAATTAAGACTTTGACGTATCTTTTTATGGAAAAATCAATTTAAAAATCTTTTTTTACGGAGAAACAAGATCTTAGAAAACTATATATTTTCTATAGTTTACGTCCGATTGCAGTCAGTCTTACAGAAGTTGTAGATTCTTCTGTGGATATGTTACGATAAGATGTTTTATCTAAAAATGGTGATTCTCTCAAAGGATAGGATAGGATGTTTCAAAGGCACATGTTTCTCATGGTGGGTGATGACTGCAAAGTTGCGGTTATTTTCAAATGAATCTAGACATTTAGGTTCAATCTAAAACCCTAACCGTTTTTCATTCTTTTCTGGCACACGTTATGACATGAAATATTAAAAACGTCATCCTTCCTTTTTCAGCGACAACCATATCACACGCGCACAATCTAGAAAATCTAATTTTTTAAGCAAAAACGGCACATATTGTTGAAACGAGCATGATTTTGATTTTCAATAAAAAGATCAACTTAGGAGAGTTCCCCTTCGGGACGGGACAGGCTTTAAAAACATCTTGAAAAATCTGTTGATGATTTAAAGACGAATAGAGATATATTGTTTTTTCCACACAAGTAGATAGTTCGAAGTGGTCTCTTTAAAACGGAAGCAAAACGAGATCTGTATCCTTCGTAGTTTTGGCGTGTCATTAGATTTACTAGCAGTCACAGAACTTATATCTGTTGAGTTTCAAGACCCTCAAAACGATTGGAAGATAGGTTATCGAACACTATGAGTCTTCTGGCACTGTTTGTTCCTACGAATAGGTTGAAAAACATAGGGAAAACGTCTTTGTAGAAGATAGGCAATTTTAGACTAATTTTATTGAATATAAGAAGTTGATCCTCGAAAGCGATCAGAGAGACTTGGAATTTCAAGATATCATTACAACAGTACGAGAATCTAGACTGAATCTCTGGAGAACCATTTCAGTACAAAACGTAATTTTTATGTTCTTATCTGATTTTTGGATCGAACTGTATTTATTCTAGAGCGTTTTTTTATCTAGTTGTTGCACGTTTAGGAATGTTATCTAAGTTTGTAGATAGAGCTAATGTTAGACTTTAATATACGAAAAGCTGAAAAATGCGAGGTTTTCATATCTCCATCAAAACGCAATGGTAAGGATAAACATTTTTTTACATATTTAATAGGATATGTTCTACAATTTGTTAGTATCAGGAATTCTAACCTTCATATTTTGAGATTGTTGTTTAGTGATCCAAAATTACTTTGAAAATCTATGTTTTCGCGAAAAAGCGACTGGCAAGTGTATAATTCTATCGTCAAGTGCATCAACAACTTTCCATATTATTTCTAAACACGTAGTAAGTAGATGAGAAATCGTCTTGAGGAGAAGTAGTTTAATTCTAATATCATCGGTTCATCAAGTAGAGTAATCCGAAATCTTGAAGCTATTTTAAACTTAGAAGAAATCTCTGCAACTAGCCCAAATAGCTTATAGATCAGTATCAAAGATTATCTGATATTGTAGGTGTTGTGAAAATCAACAAATAACTCTAAATGACGACGATTCGTCCACCGATAGTCAACAACAACGTCCACAAATTATTACAAGTACGAGCAATGAGAATGGAAAAATATGCCTTGCTAGTGGACGTTCAGAGAATATTCATGAAACAAACACATTGAACAAGAATGAAAGTTCGCCAACAAAATCGTCGTTACTTTACGATCCATGGGTGAGACGAATCGATGTTTGCCCATCGTCAACAGACGAACAAAGACTTTTTTATAATCGAAATAATACTGATACCGATTATGATACATTGTCGTCAAATAGACTGAAAAACATACTTATACCAGAAACGGTAATAGAAGAATGTCGATCAAATTTAGCTAAAAAATCGTCAAGTTGTATACGACGTGATCTTTGTAGTCAAAAGAACAATGAAAATATTACATTATTACAGAAACCAAATTCAAAAGATGTCACAACAACATGGTCCCATACTGATCCTGTTGATGGTGATGGAAATGATCTAAAAGTCAAACGTAAACAGCGTCTACATAGTTCAAGCGATGAAGATAATGAAAGTAGTTCATCACTAACAGACAAAGATAAAGATATTGAATATGTTGAATCGCGATTACGTGGTCAAGTATCACAGCAACAACAACGTCATCGACAATCGAAAATTAAACAGCAAACTTCACCGGATACATCTACTTATTCGTTGTATAATCAACCCGGAAATGTTACTTCGAGTATTATTCAACAACAAAAAAATAAACGTCTCGTTGCGCCTACAGATTCTACTTCATCTTGCCGACAAACTAAATATTTGTCCACTCGACCATCACCAACAACGACGACTACTACACCATATAACGAAATAACGCCGATCGATAACAATCCCATAAATATGTGCAAATCCCCGAGTCTGATAAAACTTTCACAAACAGATATTAGAATAGATAATAAAAATGAAAAAAATAATAATTTAAAAAATCCAGTAAATGGGAGTGTTAAAACAACAAAACGTCGAGTAGAAAAAGTTAAAGATCAAAAAGCAGCAAAAACATTAAGGTAACGCATAGAAAAACTAAAGTAAATCTAAGAAGTATTGATAAAAAATTTTATATTTTTTTAGTGCCATTTTACTTGCATTTATTATCACTTGGCTACCGTACAATACAAATATAATTATCTCTACAATCAAACCTGATATATTTGCACAAGGTTTTCCAATGTATTGGGAAAGATTTGGTGAGTATGTTAGCTGTTGAGAGAAAGAAAACTTATGGCTTCATGGTACTGGTTCCGTGAATATCTCAAAACAAAGTCTGAAATAAAAAACTTGTTTATAGAAAGCATCTGGCTTCGAAGTATATTTACTGTACTTAAAATACTTTTTAAGTGATACATTTATTCATAACTTATATTCAAATGTACTACACTGCAATTATAGGTCTGAAGACATCAAAAAGATAATTTTGTTTCAACACTCTCAAGATAATAGCTTATTCTCAAAATTTTGAGATGATTAGACCTTTTTTCATAAATACAGGGAATTACTCGTATATCCTGAGTTACGGTAAAAATGTCAAGACAGTTCGATGCACTTTTCATCACGTTTGCCAACATTGAATAAAAAAGTCTTATCCCTGTGCATACACCTAAGGTCTAAATATGAAATTGTTTTGCTCAAAAACTGTCAAATGTCGCATTACATCTATACCTAGAAGGAAGATGACATATGATCTTACATTCAAATGTGATCTATGACATCAGCAATTTTTTCTGTTGAAGTTTTACCATGATAGTAAGTGAAGTCTTATCCTATGTAGTGCACATACATTTACTGTTATCTTTTACATCTTGAAAACGTAGAATTTGAAATCTGAAAAAAGAATGCGTTTGTTTGTCACTACCTTAGTTTTAAGCACTACTTCGTTTATAAAATAAACAAATATCTCTACATAAGTTTTCTCATCACATACACATATATGTACCCATGTGGTAAATGTCGGCTGAAAATCGACGACATATCGCGACATCATATCGGAGATTTGTTTGTTTCGTTTGGTTCTTTATAATTCCCAACTACTCGGTTCAAATCTGTCCTAAAAATATTCTTTTTTTTCGTTTTTCCTAGTTTTTATGGTGTATTGATGTTTAGCCACTGTCGTATGATAGTGCTGTCAACTAAAGTCGAAGTTCTAGCTTGACCAGCGGGTCTAGAGCCTCGGCTGGCTCCTTGGTGTACAGATTAACTCGATTGAGGTAACCACCAACAAGTTAATCGAAAAAAACAGATAGACTGAAAAAAATACCAATTACCAATTTTTCTTTTCGACTTCAATCAAAAAATATTTCCGACTGTAAAACTGGAATTTCTAAGAAGCGGGCTGTGGTCCACCCTAGACCTAGTGATATGTACATCGGTCATACGACTAGGTATATAAGACAAGTATAACAAAAATCGTTCGTTGAACGACTGAAAAGAAGTATAGTCAATTTTACAACATAAATTAGAAACATAGTGATCGTTCTGTAAGAAACCAACCATTTACTTTTAAAATTATATTAAAATTGAACATACTAGCCGCATATATTCTTAAATTTGTATTTTTAACATTGCTCTTTCATTCTGCAACTATTCTATTGTGTCTTACATAAAAGCCTATCTCTCTGCATTAGATACGCACCAATTATCTCTGCCTATTTTTTAGGGTACCCGGGAAAATTGTTATAACGCGGTTACTAAGAATCACCTCGACTTGCGAAATGTTTGGCCTATCTATTTGTACCCAATAAAAGATATTGAAGGATAAAATAGAGAAGTTTTTCAATAAATTACTAGAGACATACGAACAGTTATACGACTTGATTACGTTATTTTTAATAGTTTTGTTCAGTTAACTGTATTTCTCATAAAACTTATTTCAAGTTTTCTTTGAATATAGTCGGATAGAGTTTTCATTTCTCTATCGGATCGTATGTTTTTAATCTGATTTATTCCTTATCTCGACTGTAAATTTGACTAAATTAGAAAAGCACTCAAAAAAGTCTTTTAACATGGGTATATTTGCCTGAAACCAGATTGTCACGAAAACGGTTTTAGATTGAAGAAATGCATCAGAGTCATGATTCGGGTTTCTTTTTAATTAACCGGTGAATACATTTCGAAATGAATAGTAGTATAATAAACACCGAATGCATAACTATGTATTACGAGACGTTTCGTACAATATCTTAGTACATCCTCAGTCAG